GACCGGGGATTAGGAGGGATTGTTAATCACTTGGATTTGACTCAAAAACGTAAAAACACAATATAAAACACCAAACTAGACCCAAAGAATGCAAAACTAAAGTTTAAAACACTAAGACAAACCAAAAGACTCAAAACAGCAAGAAAACACTTAAAACTGCCTTAAAACTACTTTCTGAGCAGTTTTGAGCACTAGAGGAGAATTTGGACGAAAATAGTTATAACTTGACTCAAGATACTTTAAAAACACAAACTAAATTGATTTCTAACTAATTTGACACTCCAAGTAAAGGGGGATTTTGCTTTTGACGAATTTGAAAACAAAACTTAAAACTTTGTAAAACGAACGGATTTTAAAACAAATTTGGATTTAATGAATGGAATGAAAGCTCGCTAAGGGGTTCATCTCCACACATGCCATACTTGCACAGAAAACGATTTCTAATTGCTTTTCAATAACCCATGAATTCTCAACGCCCCAGATTAACCGTGAATTGCACTAATTAACCCTCAGATCTTCCTAACGTTATTGAATTGGATGATTGCATACGACAACCCAAAGCATTCCCCACAAGTTCCCTACATGAATTGCATAATAGAGATACAAGCAAGAATCATTAAGTTCTTTGAAAACCATAAGCATTGACGAAGCACTCGTTACTATGAATTGCATGAAACTTATGCCAAGAATTTACTTAATGCAATTGAGGTCATCAACTTTTACTACTTGTGAATATAAGTTTGTAACGATTAGGTGAAACTTCCTTATATCCTAGCATTAGATTTATGCATGATAATTAAGCGTGCACTCTCAACCAACACACACAAATCAGTTTAATTCAATTAGATAAGTGAATTGAATTCACAACTTATGAAACGCAATTAGAGGTAATCAAATCATATAGCAAGCATGATCATGGTTTCGAATCCCCCCCTAGCCAAGGGGGGGTTTAGTTCCTCATACGTACAAGACAAAGAGAAGTAAATTTAACCATTGAAATCAAAGGAGAGGAAACACCTAAAAATTCCAGCAACTCGAACTTGAATTGCATGAACGTTCAAGCCCTCTTCTCCTCCTCTTTGTTGCGGCACCAGGTCTAAGGATAGGTTTTGGGTGGTATTTGTATGGAGGAATGGATGTGTGATGGTAGGGTAGTGTTTAGGAGGGATGGGGAGTGCGGCAAGGTGGGAAAATATGGAGAATGGTGAAAGATGACTGCGGCAAAGGGTTGGGAATGTATTTCTGGCGAATTTCTGAATGTGGAGGAGTGAATGATGCTCAATTGGTGCGGCCAGGGGGTCTAATTATAGTGCAAAATCCCTCTCAATCAGCAAGGAAAAGGACTAAGTATTTGAAGATGACAAGGAAATCAAAACCCATCAGGAATAGGCCATCTAGAAGGTAGGAAACCCCAAAGGAAAAGGAATAGAGGCGCCAGATTTTTAGGGTTCTAGAAACAAAGTGTTTTGTGACAGAAATTGGCACTTCTAGAAGGATTTGGGGCGCCACCTTTGTAGGAGATAAGATAAGGTTTCTAGAATCATGATTTAAGTGCTAGATTTGTAGGGAAAAAGAGATAAGGGTGCGGCACCTTCTTAGGGATAATGTTAGGGCTTCTAGAAAGCCTAAAAACTAAGGGGAGTTGGATAAAACCCACAACAAAGATAGGATAGGGCATCTAAAGCTCCTAGAAACCCTCCAAGATAAGGTAAAGTGCATGGCATCCCTATAGGATTAGGATAAGGTGTCCTAAAGTGTTTATGAAGGGAAAATATGAGATTTATGTGGGATTTCTAGTGACTAGCATGCATATACAATTCAAAATTTATATACGAAAGCAACGGAAGCATGTCATACATTTTATCAAAGCTATAGTCATGCAAATCCCCTTCAAGATGCATAGGTTTATATAAGATGCATCAAAAACAATTTATTGAAGAACAAAGTTTAGGAGTAGTTTTATACCTCTTGATCTAGATCTAAGACCAAGGATTGACCACCTCCAAGCTCTTTGCTCCTTGAACTCCTTGAGCCTAGCCTCCCTCCTTGCCTCCTCCACTTTGTTGAGAATGAGTGCTCCTAGGTCCTCTTCAAGTTTCCAAAGATATGAAAACCTCTAAAGATCCTCACCCACTTTGTAATGAGAAAGATGAAGGAATTAACCAAAGGGTGATAAGATGATTAGCTAATAATCCCTTTGGTGGCCGGCCTTTTAAGAAGTTTAGAGAGAATGAATATCTTTTCTTTTGTGTATTCTCAATCACCTAACACACTAACACACACTTTCATTATTATGTTCCTTTTATTTCTTAAAGAAACAAGTCAACAATTGACTCACTCTCTCTCCCTTCTCATTTGGCCGGCCTATTGTGTTTAATTTGGGCTTTGGGCTTTTAATTATTTCAAGTCATCCAATGCTTGAATAAAAGCCCAATGGGTTTTGGCCCAATGGGCCCGATTAAACCCGAACGTTTCTTTAAGCCCAAAACGATCTTTATCGCTTTTATGATTTCTTTAGACTTTCTAAATTAATCAAAAACACTTAATTAATCCAATTAATTATTTCCTTCATCCATTAGTTACTCACTACAAGAGTGTATCGGTGAACAATCTTTTAGGTTCTAATTAGCAAGGCAGTGAGGTGATTGGCACCAATCCAATTGATTATCCAATCACTTAGTGATTTAAAACTTACTTTTAATTCACCTTCCTTTTAATGACTACATTTTAATCATCTAGAAGAACTCACAAGCCATGAGTGACATCTAATCATATATCATGGCTACCCAAGCTAATGTAGAAGTTATTCGGAGAACCTATTCAGTTGGAATTACAATGTAATTCGTTCCTTCTCTAAAACAATACTCTCAATCACATTACTAGGGTATGGATTTATAATGTCAAACCCCTAATGTGATTATTCCTTCTTATACGATTCATTTGAGACGTATAGGAACGCTTTCCTTTATTACGCTCGATACTTCGGCCGAAGATTCCCGAATCATATCTTAGAGTATTCATCCTCTCTTATCGAGGATTAGAGATTCCTTGTTGCGCATTCACTTGCCTTCATGGCTAAGTGGCTTAACCCCAACGATGCCTTGGACACTCTCGAATGGAATGACTTTAACATAATCAAAGATTAAGTACTTAACCACAAGACAACGAGATGCCTCAGGTCAAAGGATTACTTACATTATTCCAACCATTAGAGTTACTTGCTTGACATGTGAGTAGACCTCCATGCAAGTACTCTCGTTCGATTGTGTTCAGTGAACTCATTCCCTTAATGAGCACCTACATGCTTGTCTTAGTGTCGCTACACGAATGGGATGAGACTTTCCATCCTTCCAATTGAAGCGGACATAGTATGTACCAGTCTATGGATTGTCAGTATCCCTCCGACAATCCTTATGACCAGGAACCTTTTTTGACATGATGGTTATGAGAAGAAGGTCTCTGTAACCTAACATCATTAGGTTACTTCTTCCATCGATCCATTGTCCATGGATTCACTATTTAGGACATATTTCGTTCATTGAGATAGTCCCAATTAGTATCTTTGCCTTCCGATGTATAAGAGTCATATATACATCAATTCATTGTCCTGAAAGGTTTCTTCCAAAGATTGACTTTCAGGGCATATTTCCAACAATCTCCCACTTGCACTAAAGTCAATCACTAGTGTATCTTATACATCCAACAATCTCCCTCTCTTATGCTCGTAGGTTAACTTGGTTATGTATTTAATCACCTTTTAATTTAAAAGGGATTTACTTATCAAATGTTTCTAAAACATTTTGATGATGTCTCTTTCTTGTGTTCGAATACTTTGATGAGACCTTGATTCCATGGCTTGAGCTATCGCCCCATTACGTCGTAGTATCCTACTAACGACCTTATGGTTTGGATTCAATCATTGGTTCTAAAAGAACCCCTTTTATTCAAAACACCTTTTGAAGCAGTTTCTAAAACAATATATCGATATATATATTTTGTTTGTATACTTTATACAAACTTTGCTCCAACCTTGAGACCATTGTAGTACGATACTAACAATACATTCATATGATTAGTACTTCATCCATTATGAAGTTCCATTTGTTAAAATGGGTTATTTTCACTTTGGTTCGTAACCTAAGTGAATGCACGCTTCCAAAGTCCCACTTTGATGTTCCTTTCTTAAAGGCAATAATACTCTATCAGTTACTTTGGTTCTGATCCTGGGATATAGTAATATCTTAAAGTGATAACCCATGGTCTTTCACTTTTGGATATCTACTCACAAGTCCATACATGTGTCCCTTTTGTGATTTTATGACACATATGAAAAAGATTTTCTATCATATAAGGAAATTTTATGATTTGAACCATGAGGTGACGAATTTGAATTGTCTTGTTGTTAAACTATATGTTGTGACTCATTTTGAAACTATTCCCTTTTGTTTCATCAACTTGTCCATATGCTTTGTTATTAGCTTGTTCTCGTAAAAGAGAATGATGGACAACTTCCAACATATAACTATTTTATGCTAGGTTGACGAAACCAACATTCAAAGACTATTCTTTAGAATGTTACACAACATAGATTTTTAACGTTTTGAAGAGCTTGAGTCTTTTAACAATTAAAATTTCAAACTCTTAATAATAGTCAAATACTATTATTATTTAGACAACTATAAACCAATCATATTCAAGTTTATATCCATTTTAACACCTCCCACTATTTCTTATGACTTTAATGAGAAATGATTTCATACATTCAAAAAATGTATAAACGTGGAATGTACGAGTAGAGGACATTGTGTAGTAGCTTTAAAACCTTTCAAGCTCATCTGTTTCAACCTTCATTAAGTTGATGCCTTGTTATTAAGTGATTAAAATCTTTAAACCTTTTATAGATTTAGACACTTCTTTCTTGGTTTTAATCACTAACACACTTAACATTTTTAAAACAATTTTAAGAATGCCCAATTAGTTGTTCAAAACTACTAATTGAATCAAGAGTGACTTTGATTATTGTGTTTTAAGTGATAACCCTAGAAAACGTTTTTCTTATTACTTATTACTTATATCATTATAATGTGATATAAATCTTGTATCTCAACTAGGATACAACAAGACAATATTCAATTCATAACACTACTTTAAGGAAATAATATATTAGAAGGCATTCATCACATTACATTAATATGATAACACAAACATTCACAATGTTTAACTTAAAAGGAATTAGCTCTAAACATTTAGAGACTTATTTAAGTACCTTCAAACATTTAGGCATTAATAGTGGTCTTCCATCATATGAAGCCACATAATAAGTTCTTAACATAATAAGAAAGTTTAAAGACAATCTTTAAATGCCTAAACAAACTTCCCAAGTAGTAAGCAAAATCATGGTGACCGAACCCTTCTTCACTCTTTTATTTGCTTGTTCCTCTTCTACTTAGTTCCTCCACCTATATACAATTATACAAGTGATTAGCTCTTTATATCAAATATAAATATTTAGAAGATCTAACAATTAGAATTGAAGATGAGAACATAAACCATACCTTGTGGCTTGTCCTTAAGAGTTGCAAGGTAAAACCTGCAATTCCTCCTCCAATGCCCTTCCTTTCCACAGTGGTGGCAAGTCCCCTTGGGCTCCATTTCCTTTTTCTTTTTCTTCACTCCTCCTTTTGGCTTAGGAGTGGGAGACTTTATCTCCTTCCCCTTTCCTTTGCCATACGGCTTAGGATTGGAAGAGGATGGCTTGTTGTAGGCTACTGCAACAGTCCCTACAACGTTCTCTTTCATAGTCTTCTCAGCAGTTACTAACATGTTTAGTAACTCAGAGAGAGTACTATCTATTTTATTCATATTGTAGTTCATTACGAACTGTGAGAATGAATCAGAAAGAGAAGCCAATATAAAGTCCTGGGCCAATTCCCCGTCAAGTGGAGTACCTAGGTTCTCCAGTTGTTCAATGAATCCTATCATCTTCAGTGCATGTAGATGCACTGGAGCCCCTTTGACCATCTTGGTCTTCACAAGTTCACAAACAGTGTTAAAGCGACGGTTGCGCGTCCCTTCACCATATAACTCCGTAAGATGGAGTATTATGGAAAATGCACTGTCCATGCCCTCGTGCTGTCTCTGTAGCTCCTCATTCATGGAGGCCAACAGATAGCACTTGGCTTGTGTATCATCCTCAACGTGCTTGTCATACTTAGCACGTTCATCCTCTGTGGCCTCAGGGCCAAGAGGTATGTCAGGAAGAGGCTTATCAAGTACGTAAATAATCTTCTCCAACGTTAGGAGAATCTTGACATTACGATACCATGATGGGAAATTGTGCCCCTCTAGGCAATGTTTGTCGAGTATTTTCGCGAATGTGCTTCCAACCATATCTAAATACATAAACAATAAAATAAATTAGTTTGATTGTTGATTAAGTCACACGATTCGGGTCTTTAAACCGAATGACACCACCCACCATTTTTGGCAAATTCCATATCCCTCAAGATGGAATCCGGGAGATTTCAAAGAAAGCTCCTAGCAGGTTATAGGAGGCTCACTATTACCAAGCCCACCTCACGATGATACGATGTTGGCTAGCAACAATAATAATGAGAGGGTACAATTACCCATTTACAACTTTTGTAATTACCCATCTAGTTTGGCCTCTAGAGAATGTTGCCTCACGATGATACGATGTTGGCATTATTGCACTTAGTTAAGTTATTCCCACCATGCTTAGTTCATGTAGGGGTTCAAGAATAACCTCACGATGATACGATGTTGGCTATCCTCGTTGCCTACACTTACCTCATCATATGTTTATGGACTCCTCCTGAGTGTAAGCATGCACTTTGTACTCCCCCATGATAGGGTGAAGCCGGTGTACAAGTCACAAACGATTGGAGCCCACCACGGTGGAAGGCCTACGAAGAAATGTTCAAAACATCTCTCGTTTATCAACTTAATATTCGTTTGTTGAGGGATTTTAAGGTCTCATCAATTTTATTTATTTAAACATATTCAAATAAATTGTCCTATTACAACTACTAGTCCAAAGTTAATGAAATTAGTAGCATATGATATCCCCACTATTCGTTTTCATAAAACAAATCAATATCAAAACATTTTTCAAAATATTGGAGATATATATAACTACTAATTGAAATCATTATAGTTTAGTAGCGTATGATACTCCCACTATTTGTTTTGAGAAAAACAAATCAATATCAAAAACGAATTTTTCAAATATTGGAAGTAACTACTACTACTACGGGTTTTGCAATCCTTTGAAATTGGACTTTATAGTTATCTTAGGCTCTTGGATGACCATGGACTTATTGGGTTATTGCAACAACGAGCCAACATTGTTGAATAAGATCTCGGGGAGGTTGTGTCAATTTAATTACGTGCTTTTCAATCCAATTAAAACATTTTCATTGAGCCATTAGAAATGAAAGACAATCATTCATTGCTTATTAGGGCGTTGGACCCATTTAATCTTGAATCTCATGTCAAAACCCTCTTTTAGTTATGTCTCCTTACCAATAGTTAAAGAAACTCTAGTCTAGCACTAGAGGGAATCAACTAACTAAAAGAGATTAAGAAGTAATAAGAATTACAAACCGATTTGTACAAATTCCTACAAATTACATATACTAAGAGGGAGAGATAGATTAATGTCGAAACGTGACAAGGTCCAATTGAAACAGTAATTAAAACACATTCCCAAGGTTCAAACAATTTGATTTTAGCGCCTTATCTCATAGCTCAATTATCGTTTAAGGCATAAGTCCATAGTCACCCATTTACTAATTACTCAATCATATTAAATAATCAAATGGAATGCAACATATAAACAATTAGATTTAGTGCATATGGGCATAATTCAATGATGAGTTTAAACATTAAATAAAATTAAAATCAAACATTTCAATTTTTAAATAGTAGGGGTCTAAATGCAAATATGAAAAAGTTAGGGGTCAAACCATAAATACTAAAAGTAATACCAAACTTTTCATGATTACAAAAGGACCCTCAAGTGGGTAAACCATTGAGGATGGCCGGCCATATTAAGGGGAAGGTGGGTAGGTCTCACCCACCTTGCATTATTTCAACTTAAAGAAGAAAAAATCTTGTTTGCCACTTAGTTTTGTTTTAAGGACTTTAAGAAAAAGAATGATTGAAATATATATCTAGACAATTCTAGGTATTAATTTAAATTTTGGTGTAGGCTATGGATGGTATGTACATCATCCATAACCACAAAACAATGCATGTAAAACCATTTTCACCAAAAACAAACCATGAACACCAAGAACAAAACCATGAACATATTTTCAAGATTTGTATGTTCTTGGTGATTTTTTAAAACCCAAAAAACAAAAGTGACAAGATCACTACTTTCTAGCTTCAAAGTGTGTGTGTGAGGTTCAAAACAAAACACAAACACTAACAAAAAATCCCCATTTAGCCGAACCCCCTTTGAAGAACAAAACCCCAAAATTTTTGTTTCTAAACCCTCTTTTCATTCATGCATCCAAAACATTTTTGCATACATATCTTTCTCAACTATTGATACACCTTTTCAACATTTGATAAGACAAAAGATAAACATATTTTGAATGAAAAACAATTTAAACTCAAACTTCATTCATGCATCAAAAACACTTTTCTTGCATATCCTTTTTCAACTTTTGATTTACAATTTTTCAACACTTTGAAAAAGCAAAAGATAAACATATTTTGAATGAAGCAATAATATGACATACATAAAATTAAAACCCATATGCATAAAATCTAAAAGGACACATCATACATAAACCTTTGGCTCTGATACCACTTGAAGGGAAAATATGAGATTTATGTGGGATTTCTAGTGACTAGCATGCATATACAATTCAAAATTTATATACGAAAGCAACGGAAGCATGTCATACATTTTATCAAAGCTATAGTCATGCAAATCCCCTTCAAGATGCATAGGTTTATATAAGATGCATCAAAAACAATTTATTGAAGAACAAAGTTTAGGAGTAGTTTTATACCTCTTGATCTAGATCTAAGACCAAGGATTGACCACCTCCAAGCTCTTTGCTCCTTGAACTCCTTGAGCCTAGCCTCCCTCCTTGCCTCCTCCACTTTGTTGAGAATGAGTGCTCCTAGGTCCTCTTCAAGTTTCCAAAGATATGAAAACCTCTAAAGATCCTCACCCACTTTGTAATGAGAAAGATGAAGGAATTAACCAAAGGGTGATAAGATGATTAGCTAATAATCCCTTTGGTGGCCGGCCTTTTAAGAAGTTTAGAGAGAATGAATATCTTTTCTTTTGTGTATTCTCAATCACCTAACACACTAACACACACTTTCATTATTATGTTCCTTTTATTTCTTAAAGAAACAAGTCAACAATTGACTCACTCTCTCTCCCTTCTCATTTGGCCGGCCTATTGTGTTTAATTTGGGCTTTGGGCTTTTAATTATTTCAAGTCATCCAATGCTTGAATAAAAGCCCAATGGGTTTTGGCCCAATGGGCCCGATTAAACCCGAACGTTTCTTTAAGCCCAAAACGATCTTTATCGCTTTTATGATTTCTTTAGACTTTCTAAATTAATCAAAAACACTTAATTAATCCAATTAATTATTTCCTTCATCCATTAGTTACTCACTACAAGAGTGTATCGGTGAACAATCTTTTAGGTTCTAATTAGCAAGGCAGTGAGGTGATTGGCACCAATCCAATTGATTATCCAATCACTTAGTGATTTAAAACTTACTTTTAATTCACCTTCCTTTTAATGACTACATTTTAATCATCTAGAAGAACTCACAAGCCATGAGTGACATCTAATCATATATCATGGCTACCCAAGCTAATGTAGAAGTTATTCGGAGAACCTATTCAGTTGGAATTACAATGTAATTCGTTCCTTCTCTAAAACAATACTCTCAATCACATTACTAGGGTATGGATTTATAATGTCAAACCCCTAATGTGATTATTCCTTCTTATACGATTCATTTGAGACGTATAGGAACGCTTTCCTTTATTACGCTCGATACTTCGGCCGAAGATTCCCGAATCATATCTTAGAGTATTCATCCTCTCTTATCGATGCCTTTGAAATCAAAGAAACACCTAAACATTCCAACAACTCAAAACTTGAATTGTATGAACGTTTAAGCACTCTTCTCTTCCATTCCTTATACGTACAAAACAAAGAGAATTAAAATGAAACTTTGAAATCAAAGAAACACCTAAACATTCCAACAACTCAAACTTGAATTGTATGAACGTTTAGGCACTCTTCTCTTCCTCGTTGTTGTAGCACAAGGTTTAAGGATAGGTTGGTTGGGGGGATGGAAGTGTGGAATGGAGTGGAAATGGAGAAGATGGAGAAGGGGAAGTGTTTGTGTATTACAATGGAAAATGAGATGATTTGGTGAATGGAATGAATGGGTATTTATAGGAAGAGAATGGGTGTTAATGGATGTTTGTTTAAGGTATTTGGTGGATGGGAAAAGGTGTGGATGGTGGGAATTATGGTGGATGGATGGTTTAGTGGATGTAATTTAGGGTTTATTTAGGTGAATGTGGATGCATGGTTTAGTGGATGTAAAGGATAATGGGATGGTGTGGAATTAAAAGCTAAAAAAAATGGGATAATGGGCATTTAAGTGTGAATGGAATGGTGGGATGCACTAATGGAAATTATGGAATGGAATGGTGGGATGCACTAATTAGGAGGAAGAATTAGGGTGAAGGGCTTAATGCATGGATTTGGGCCAATTAGGGTGAAGGGCTTAATGCATGGATTTGGGCCTAAAATGCCTCCCCTTGCATGGCAAGGGAAAGGACTTGGGCTAAAGCCCACGGCAATGGCTCTAAAATGGGCTAAGGTTAGGGTTTAGGTCATCTAAAAGCCCAAAGCCAAGAATAGAAACTCACGACAATGGAAACCTCCAAGAATAGAAACTTCCAACTTTAGAAACTTTGGTTACCAATTCCGACTTCCTTGCTCTTCACTTTCATTTTTTCATTTCTTAAGCTCCTTTGACCTTCAACCTCGTTCATTCCTCGTGCTCCATTTGCATACACCACATTCCAGCTCAGTTTTGCTCCAAAAGCTCCCAATTGCATCATTTCATGTAATATGTCCTTTAAACCTGAAAACACATGAAAGTAGCTTAAAAGACTACTTTAACGAATAAAACATAACAAAAATGCATAAGAACTAGCTAACTAAGGCGCATAAATATGCTCCTATCAAATTCCCCCACACTTAGCTTTTGCTAGTCCTCGAGCAAAACAAACAAAAGAAAGAAAACAAAACGAAACAAACTAACCAAAACCAAAAACTAAACCTTCCAACGTTCGCCTCAGGGATTTCCAATGAAACATGACATGTCAAAATTCATTACTCACATGGCTTTTAGTCTTCCTTTCCCTCAAGCACATACTTAATCATAGTCACCATTCACTAGTTCGCATTTAATCAATTAAAACATATTTTGAATGTAGTAACATGTCTTAGAGAATTCCCTCAATTCCTCACTCGTTATGCACTCAATTTTCACTCAAATTTTCTGACTACACACCCTACACTAGTTATATGTGAGAAGATTGATGTAAACATGAAAGACTAGTACTCACATACGTTATACAAAGAAAGCAATTTCGGGAGTAATTAAACGTGTATGGATATGATCTCATGAATGGGATGCTACTACTTAGATGCGAGAACCAGTGACACCATATGCTCATACCAAATTCAAACTCCACATTTGAAATGCACAACACTCAAGATAGAAGTCAAGGGTTGTAACGGGGCTTAGGGTTTTGGCTAACAAGGGAAGGTAAGGAATAACAAACGTTCTTTAAGCAATAATAAGTAAAGTAATGAAATTAAGACCTAGAATTCCCTTAGAATGCAGAAATCAATTTTTAAACAAATAGGGGAGATTCAAACAACTCTTAGGGCCTAATTCATTGTTTTGGGCCCTTACTTCAACAACCAATACTTTTCAACTATTTTCAACTCTTTTTCCATTTTTTTCTTTTTTTTTTTTTTTTTTTTTTTTTTTTTTTTTTTTTTTTTTTACCGTGCCTATGGCACAAAAACTCACATGAATACACTTTCCCCCACACTTATTTTCTGCACACATTAATCAAAGGGAATTCATTCATGCTTACTATGCTTCAAGAACAAGGGTACGGATGGTCCTAATCTAGGCTAGGTGAAGATAATGTGGGTTAACAAAGAAAGTAGGCTACACAAGGCTCAACGGGGTTAAATCCTATAAAACAAATGAAAAGGGAAATATGGCAATTTGGCTATGGTGTTCACTACACAACTTCATCTTGAATACGTGTTATGCAAATCAATGACATGCTTTGAATGAAATGGGCATGAGTTCTAGCATTTGGAACTAAGTGATGAAACGCCTTCTAAGTAGCAACCAATCAAAGAATAATGAGATCATGCAACGACTTTAGAAAACAAAGAATGCACAGATTTTAACTCTCCAAATAAACGTTTAAGCTCAAGTCTCACAGGGATGTAGTGTTAGTTTGAGCTCATTCCTTTAAGCATGTTATAAAAACTAATTTTTTTCTTTGTGATTGCATGTGAATTCGTGAACTATAACTACAACCAAGCATAAACCAAAGAGTATATCAAACGTCCATCCATGTTTGTAACTTTCTTTAACCATCATGCAATTAAAAACCAAATCCTCATCATTGCGTTGGAAGGTGACCTACGACACAAACACACAAAAACAACTTTAAAACAACTCTTTTTGGGTTTTTCAAAACAATTTTTCAAATTTTTATGGGATTTTCGAATTTTTAAGTCAAAACACACTAAAACAGTTTAAAAACATTTTAAAACAGCAAGGAACAACACTTGAAGTTATGGGTGATAAAATCCAACAAATTTTGCATCAACATACTTAGTTACCCCCCCACACTTAAATCAAACATTGTCCTCAATGTTTTAAGCTTAAAACACACCAAACAAAAGAAAACATATAAAACAGCAACTAAACATACTAAACATGGCAGAATGTATCTATCAAAGAGAAGAGTTTTAGAGATGCAAATCTGGTTATGGAGTGTAAATTCCATCTTCTCCTTGGTGATTGCAGTGAGGCTTCATCTTTCTGCCATTTTTTTTTTTTTTTTTTTTTTAAACACTCGGAAATTAATAAACAAGCTTTATTCACTGTATTGGGTTGCCTCCCAAGTAGCGCTTTCTTTTACGTCTTGCAGCCGGACGAAGAATCCATTTACTCCAAATTGGAGCCTACGGTACCCAAGGGGGTGTCATCCACGGTGTGCTCCACAAAGTTCTCATAATAGGCCTTCAAACGATGCCCGTTCACCTTAAACTCTTGACCTGTTTTGAAGCTACGAACTTGGACTGCACCATGAGGAAAAACGTTAGTAATAACAAAGGGTCCAATCCAACGTGAACGTAACTTACCCGGAAATAGACGAAGACGAGAATTAAACAACAACACTTTCTGTCCAACAGAGAAGGACTTGGTGCGAATCATCTTATCATGAAAGGCCTTCGTCTTTTCCTTGTAAAGGCGAGCATTCTCATAAGCTTCATTCCGTATCTCCTCAAGTTCATTCAATTGAAGCTTACGATGAATTCCCGCTGCATCCACATCCATGTTGAACTTCCTCACGGCCCAATGAGCCTTGTGCTCCAACTCCACAGGTAAGTGACATGGCTTGCCATAAACAAGCCGAAAGGGGGACATTCCTATGGGTGTTTTGTAGGCGGTCCTATAAGCCCACAATGCATCTTCTAGCCTTAAGCTCCAATCTTTTCTTGTTGGACCCACTGTCTTCTCAAGAATCTGTTTTATCTCCCGATTCGACACCTCGGCTTGCCCGCTTGTTTGAGGATGATAGGGTGTGGACACCCTATGTGTAACGTTGTACTTCTTGAGCAAGGCCTCAATTGTACGATTACAGAAATGTGAGCCTCCATCACTTATAAGAGCTCGAGGCATTCCGAACCTAGCAAAAATGTTAGACTTCACAAAATCTGCAACTACCTTGGA